TTGTTGATACCGGGTAGTTGAAACCATTTAGTTTCAGTCTCTATAATTAGAGCAAGTACCATATGAACTGCTTTTCTTTTTGTTATTAGTTGAAAAAAAACACTTTTGGTTTCAGTTTGAATGGAAGACTTTTCAAATTAAGTCATCGTCTCTCTATAATTAGTCCAAGAACTGGGGGTGCAGTACTAGCTGTGATCTATATATTTTGCCACATTCAGCGCAGACATGACTTGTCTGCGGGTGATCGGTTAAAGCTCATTTTTTCGCTGTCTATTTCGTGTCCTCTGTAAATTTCCTTTTGGTCTCAAATGAAGATCAAGCATGGTAGCAGATGGATTTTGAATGTGACGGCTTAAGATCTTTTACAAAGGTGATGGGATATGGATTTGAGATCTCTCTATAAGAAAATCAGTTTGAGTGGAAAACCTTGCCTATAGGACATCATCTCTATAAAAATGTCTACATTGCTAGCAAGTTGTATGTTTACAACTATATGTCTCTGTTGTATGTTATTAATTAGAGCTTAATGTGACTTCACAATCACTTCATACTAGAGAAACACTCCTCTTGTATCAAACATTATGGTAGGACTTGATGACTTCTGCACAAAGAGTGTGGAAGACAATCATTTTGTATTTGTCCTCGCAATGTGCTGATGTTTTCATTTTAGGTTTATAATTAATTTACTGTTTAAAAAAAAAAGAAAGATGTAAAAATAGTTTTTAACAAAGGTGTTGTTTACAAATCTTGTGAAATATCTTTATTTAGCTACAGCATATTAGAGGCATGCTAGTGCTGATTGCAATTATCTTGTCATTTTGATACACTAACACTACTTTGTGCACAGTTGATATAGTCTGGTCAGCCTATAAATAATAAGTTGTTCACTTTTTTTTTTTGATCGGAGTAAGGTTAGACAGGGGAGGGGTGCTTGAAAACTTCTACTGGCTGTTGATCTAGTTATGAAAAACAATTTTTTTTTTTTTAAAATATGGTTTTGTCTACACATAGATCGCAGGGTAAGGACTATTGAAACCTGTCACATCTAGACTAGTCCAAAATAATGGTCCTACAATATTATTTATTTCATTTATCTTCTATTTGTACATTATTATTTTAGCAGCCATTTTGTTGGTCATGTGACATGAAAACTTCTGCTGGCTGTTGATCTAGTTATGAAAAATTTTTTTTTTTTCTCTTCTGTTTTATATCTTTATTTTTGTAAAGTCATCTTATATATGGTACTGTTTAAATTTGTATATGGTTTTACTAATTTTGAATAATTTGGACTTCAAGATTCAGTTTACAGGCTATAATTTGTCAGGGACATTTCTGTTCAATGCAAGTATGATTTGCTTTTTTTATTTCCCTTTTACTTATCATTTTAGCTTTAATTATTGAAATATATTTTTAGAATGTATATTTTAATCAGAATAACTATAGTATATACATGGTTAATTCTTATACTTATCATCTTTAATCAAAAAAAAAAATGTATTAGTATAACATTTATTTATTCTATTAAACATTTTATAGTACTACACTTTTTTTTAAAGATATGCAATGCATTTATTTTATCTTAAATCTGTTTGATGGTATTATGTCACCTAAAAAAGTATTTTACCAACCTTGCAAAGTTGAAAAAAAAAAATTAAACAAAAAATGAGAAACCATTGTGAGGAAAGGTAACCAAAAGTTGAGTGTGGACCTTTCAAAATCTTGATCAAAAGTTTAGTGTCGACCTTACAAAATCTTGATCAAAAGTTTAGTGTGGACCTTTCAAAATCTTGGTCAAAAGTTGTGGACCTTACAAAATCTTGGTCAACTAAGTGAGACTTTGTTTTGCATTGAAAGATTTTTAAGGTGATAATTATGAAACCATTTCATTGATATTTAACAGAGCTGTTGACATGAAGATCAACAAGAGAAAATGAAAGAGGACGGATTGAGATTGACTGCTTGACACTAAGAGAGACTCTGATATTTAGGAGGAAAAAAAATCTACAGTGGAACAGCATCATCAGATAAAGCATGATCTAAGCATGTTGTATCTTGTAATCATATCAAACTATATTCAGATGTAATCTTAACTACTCAGTGAAAAAATGTGTTCATCCCTGGAGTTGTTCACAGACTAAGATAAATGGTTGCTGAATGCTGAGTCCTTTCTGGGGAAGAGTTTGAGAACCAGTCAACTCCTTGTGTCTATAACAGAATGAAGGCTAGAATAACTTGAGCATTGAAATTGACCTAGATTGTATTTCCTGAACCTAATATAGAACATGTGGAAAAAATATTCACCCAAAGAGAAACATGAACAAGCTGTCTAATCTAGCTGGCCATCACTATGCCAAAGCCGAGTCTCCTGAGTTGGGAAAGTTTGATAATCTTTAGTTCTGCACCTTGTTCCAAAAAAACATTGTGCGAGGATATTTATTTTATCTTAAGAAATTTAAGAAGGTCAATATGAACAATTTGGCTTTAGTTCATATTGAACATTTCTATCCCATCATGTATTTGGCGTGATTGAAGAAAGTAGGAAATACAAAATGAGAAGAAGAAGAAAAACAACACCTCGACACATTTTTGTGTGTTTTTTTTCACTTCAGTTTTATTTTATTTTTACATTGTTTCAGAAGCCATAGTTACCTTTCATCATAATGAGTCATCATGCAGGCAGTATATAGAGGATTTTCAAATGAACATCAGAATTGTTTTTGTATTCATTCACTTGTAACAAAACAATTAAACAATTCACGATCAAACCCAATGAAATTATTTACAGCCTGTCTTTTTTTTTTTTTTCTATTTGACTTTTTGTTTGTTGCTTTTTTTTATTTTTTATTCAGAACTTTATATCTTTTGTATCTTATTTTCACATTTCATGTTGTTTGATTAAATTTCTTTGTTGGATCACTGTTTGATTAAAATTCTTTGTTGGATCACACTTCAGGCATACAAAATTCTTGAGACTTTGGTAACATGATTATAAAAGTAAACTCAATTCTCAGACTTTTGTTCATATTTATACGTTATACTATTTTTGCTGATAATTTTGTTTATTTAAATCTATCTAATTTAACGTACTCTGGAACAAAATATTTTTTTTTAATTATAATTCTTGTATCCATCATCATAAACGTTATCTTTGTCAGACAAGAGCCATGATGAATTGTTTCTTTCTTTCACTTGCATTTCTCATTGACATTCTTGTCATTTCTTTACAAAAACTTTTTTCACTGCAGTGTTTATATGAAGCATAATTATTAATCATGTTACATAACAAACAAAAACATTCTAGATCAGTGGTTCCTAAACTTTTTCTATAATGGAAAACTTCGCACATTCTGGGTATTTAACAGAACACTTAGCTTATTTTTTTTAGAGAGATTATACATGTGGTGGCCTGCTAGAAAATTAATTCATTAGTTTGTGGAACTCCCGTTCACACCTGGCGGAACACTGGGGTTCAGTGGAACACAGTTTGTAAAACACTGGTCTAGATTGTTCTCTAAGTTGGAGAAACCAAGATTTAACATTTTAAAAATCAAACAAATGAAAGAAAAAAAAAGTGTTTGCATTGGGTAATTATTTATTTATGTATTTTGCTCTGTTGATCAATTAGTTAATAATTTATTTAATTTGCATTTCAATCTGATGTTCTTTTAAGCTTGCATTTTTGTTTGTGTATCGAGATGTGTTGATTTATTGAATGTTAGACTATCATCTCCCAAGCTGTACTTACTGACATTTTTTTTTTTAGTTCTTTTGTCTTTGACACATGAAGACATACAGATTGGATTGTTTTAACTGTGCATAATTTATAGGACAATTTTAATGTAATCACTAATGTTTTACTGTACAAGTCGGGTAACTTCGCTTTATTTTATATTTTAATTTACTTGATTTTTACCCTAAGGGCTGTATAAAGATTGTAAAATGCATGCATACTAACATAAATATTGTAAAAAAAAAATGTATAATGATTTTATTTTTTTTGGAATAGTATTTTTCTGTGGAAGTTATATCTAGGGTATAATTAAATTATTTTTCAGATTTAATATTTCTTTTTATCAATATTTTTGTAACAGTTGAGTTATTGCTTATCATTTGTTGTTTTACTTCTCTTCTGCTTCTGTTGTGACCTCGGAGTCGATCATTTATTTTTGAAACATATTTTTGTACACATTTTTTCGCAGTAATAAATTTTGTTTTACTTGAGTATTATCAAATCTACTTCTGAGAAATTATGTTTTCTTCCATAAAGATATCCTAGCTGTGATTCTTATTTTACTTTAGTTCTTTCCTTGTTTTAAAACTGCTAAGAGCTGTAGACAGATGAGTTGTACCCAGTGTGAGAAAAAGGTAACTAAAGTATGTTGTTGTTTTTTTTATATTTAGCAGGATTTAAACCGGAGACAATCTTGATGGAAATCCTCAGCCGCACGAAACCACATCAACAACTTTGGTAACATTTTTCTTTTGCATTGAGTCACAAGGGATATAGAATTGTCAATGATTCTAAAACCTCTGGAATTCAATGCCTATGATAACAATTCATTTTTATGCTTTTTCTTTTGTTTACAAATGTTACTATATTAATGTAAAATCAATTGTATTATTTTTGCTTTAAAACTTTGTAAATGTTTTTTTTTAATTATCATTTATAAATACTTTTTATTTTTAAGATTTATCTTTAAAAAAAAACAAACCCAAAGCAAGATCAGATCCATTTTTTAAAAATATGTAATATAAAAGATTTTTTGTTTGTTATTGTTAAAACAATATTATTGTGTAATGTATTGTGAAAATTAAAAAAAAAAACTGCTAATGTAATTTTTATTTTTGGTATAATGAGGACTTGTTTTTTAATTCCTTATACACATTTTAGCTTTCAGAACAAAATGTATACTATTTTTCAAAAGAAATTATGTTAAATTTTCCGGAAAACCAATTCTTTTGGTTAATCATGTGAGACGACAGATTTAAAAAATGTGTTGTAAAAATCTGGCCAAGTATTTATTTCTGCTTTAAAAATCTGGCCAAGTATTTATTTCTGCTGTTATGTTTTTCCTCCTTGAATTCATTTCATTGCTTGCTATGCATGTCTTGTATTTTTGTTTCAAACTTATGTATCCATGACTCATTGATGTCCTCTCTCAATCATTTTATTCCTGCATAGTGTTTTAAATAGTGACAGAAGACTCACGGAGACAAAGTGTTTTTTTTTTTTTTATAGATATTTTTGTTTTTTCTTGTTTTGGTGGTACTATTCAACTATTTGACAACTAAACTTGATGATGGAAACATTGATATTAAAACTGAACATGTACACAGAAAGATTACAAGTATTAGAAGTATTTATGTGATATAACAATGGATCACCAAAATAAGTTTAAGAAAATGTATATCCATGCTTGCTACTTTGTTAGAAAATTATTTTAAAAAGGATATATTTTTTAAACTTTGTCAATTTACAGAAATAAAACCATCCTCAGATATTAGTAAGTTTTCTAGCATTGGTTGAATAAAAATAACACCATCTAATCCAAAAATGTAGTTTTGGTAACCTTTAATACCGATAAATAATCAAAAGCCTGGAATGATTGTCCGTCATAGTGAGTCTTGTAAGTCAGCCATCTTGTGTAATCATTTGTTTTACATGGTAAAATGTTTTACGCTTATTAGTGCGACAACAATCTGGATTAATTTCCTGTGTAAAGAGACATATTTCAATCAGGATTGTTGGGAAGTCTTGATGCAAAATTGAGAGAGATCGTAAAAATAAAAAACTTTGTTCAGGCAAAAAAAAAAAAAAAGAATAAAACCTTTCAAATCTGTATGTCCAATAACAATAATAAAAGACCAAGTTTGGCTACCAATGTTTCTGTCCCTTTGTTTACCATATATTCGAATGTGTTTGTAAGCAGACGACAATTAAAACAACTACAAAATTTCTTTTTTTTTTGTTTGTTTGTTTGTTTTGTGTGTGTGTGTGTTTGTTTTCTACAAGAGTTGTGAGTGTAATTCTGACCAGTTTATTATTCCTGAAATAATCCCTAAAGGCACTTGGAAGAAAACATGGCGAAACATTTGTGTGTGTGTTTCTATGGTGACGGTAAGAAGAAGGTGGCGATTGGTTGTGAATGATGCAAGATAAGCGGCGTTGTCATTAGCTGTCTTAGTGAGGAGAGACCACTCCAGAACGCCAGGCTGAAAAGACGAGTTATTGTAGTTAGACTTTGTTGAGAATACCGTTTTATATTATGACTAAAGTCTCCTACATTTATTGTATTTCATCTCAAGTTGAAGTTGTCTATATTGTAATAAAAGTTCTATTTAGTTTTCTTCACAAAGAAGTCATTTCAAGTTTTTCAAGTTAAAATATAATACGCCTACAACAGTTGAGTTGTCTACCAGCAGTTTGGTGCTACAAGTCCACATCAATAAGTAAGTTCCTAGGTAGACTCAAACAACTAACCTCCAAACCTGCTCCATCACCTTGTAGGAATGTAGACTAACACCTAACTTGACTATCCAAGTACTTAAAGGTTCAAAATGACTGAATTTATGTTTCACTACTTTTTTTTTAGAAGTAGTTGATTAGATCTAGGTTTCTATGGTGATCTAGATCTAGGTTTTTACGTGGAAGGCAATAGAAAAGTACACTAAAAACAAAACAGAATAAAAGTTGGCCAAAATCCTCTAAAAGCAGGCCACTAGTCCAGTGTACTTCAACAATAACTTTTGGGACTGGTTTAAAACCACAGTTGGAGTTAGACAAGGCCGCCTACTCTCGCCAACTTTTTACTATCGTCCTTGAAAGGATATTGGAGAAAGAAGAAATACTAACTTGCATTTTAAGGACGACCTAGATCAGGGGTTCTCAACCTGTGGGTCACTACCCCTTTGGGGGTCGATTGACGATTTGCCAGGGGTCGCCTAAGACCATCGAAAATATGGATTGTTATTGTCTATTCTTCTATTGCCGTATGTGTGTGAGAGGGGGGGGGGCAGAGTCAAGGGATAGTAAAATGGGGTCGCCGAGCTTAAAAGGTTGAGAGCCGCTGACCTAGATGGTCTAGCAGGGACAGAAGAAGAACTAGCTGACTTGGTGATGTACATATACCAGACTTCCGCAGCATATGGCATGCACATCAATGTCAAACAAAACGAATCACAAATTATGACCAATAGCCAACAGGGCTTTAAAATGGACATCAGTATTGAGCTGACAAGCGTCTGTAGTTTTAAATACTTTATAGCTATCGTCTCAGATGCAGGAACCAAACCCGAACCACTGGCCAGAACTGCTGTCCTTGTGCCATTGGAGCATTGAACTTATGTAGAATGGAATGGGTAACCTGAATCAGACAGGAAAACCAATGAATTATCAGAGTTAAAGTCACTGTTAATACGCATGACTAGATTAACACATGGACACATATAGGACATAAGTATCTTCTCTTCCGAAGTAAATTACTACAATTTGTCATTTTTAAGATAAGTCTTTGGTGAATTCAAGGCTCAGTGTGGGCAACAGTCATTCAGCCACTGCGCCGTTTAAAATTGTTTAATGTTAACAAAATGCTATACAAAAATGTTAGATAAGTGTTTAAAAAAAAAAACACTGTAAAAAGAAACCAAGGGAGGTAATTCAAATGTTAAACTCTACTCGGCTGCTCTCACAAAAAGTCCACCCCACCTCCACCCCCCAAAAATGTTTTCGTTTCGGTTGGGGGGGGGGGGGAGGGAGAATGAGAAATGACTGTGAGATAAACAGTTGGTCTATGTACAGTGACCAAATCAACCGTCCCTCCCCCTTTTTGTTTGTGTGTGCGTGAAGTTTAACTAGACTGACACGTAACCTATATAAGTGCACTTGTTTTCTTATCATGAAGAGTGCTTCACCGCCCCTTCCTCTTTTCGTCTGCCTCCCCTCCGTTTAAGTGTAACATTAACCCTTTCTCTCCGTAATTATTTACCACATTCTGGTGGAATCAACGTTGGTTTCGTCATTTAGGAGAGAAAGAGTTAATCAATATATTAATACATAGATCTATACATTATTGTCATTTACAGTAATTTTACTAGAATCTAGAAACGTACGACAACTACAACTTAAATATTCAAAAGACATAAACTAAAAAAAAATCATATTCACAAGGATAAAAACATTTGTCTGGCACTAAGTGTCAATGCGGCGACCGCCACCCCAGAAAGAAGCAGACAGAGAAAGCGATGGGAAGATAACAAAATAATGTACGGGCCTGCCATTGAAAGAGGCTCCATCCAAAGCAAAACACAGAGAGGAATGGAGAAAGGCGGTCGACAAATCCTGTGTGGTGCCCCAACAAACTAAAGGCTTGAAGAAGGTGCATTTTACGTGAAGGGAAGTAAGTGTGAGTTTCACGTCTTAATATGCAGACACCTTCCCGTGGTAAAAGTATAATTCACTGTAAACACTTTTAACAATAAAAAAAGTCTTAGTAGAAGGACATCAGGAACAGGAAACATAAGCATGAACTCCAAATCTAGATCTGCACTCAAGCACTGAATACTGTACTTTTGAAACAACTTAACAGTACAGTGTAGTTTGTCTCTTTTATTACAAAGCTTATATCAACTCTGTCTGTCTATGTGGTAAAAAAATAATACTCGTCATTTCACCAACACCCAATGTCGGATCAGTTTTTGCGCAATTTTTTTTTTACCCGACAAAACAAAAATCAATTTAAAAAAAAAAAAACAAAACAAAAAAACTAACCAGTCTGTTAATTAATTATCTTATCTTATCTTATATAATACAGACGTTACTTCAAAAAAGAAGATGATTACGTCCTACGCGTCATGCATATTAATCAATGACTTAAATTCTGCCAAGTCACTGGTTTTCCTAGCTAGCTCAGGCAACCCATTCCATGCTCTAATAGCACTAGGGAAGAAGGAGTATTTGTACAAATTTGTCCTAGCATATGGGAACGAGGAATGTGCCTTTATTGTTGGTAATTAGTTATTTTGTTTGGAACAAAAAAAAAAAGAAATTGTACTTGACTAATGTGGTGGTTTAAGTTAAATTAGTCCCGTTTATAATTTACTTAAAAGTTCGAAACTAACAATAGATAACTATAAAATCTATTTTTATAAACACTTCCCTGGTACAGTAGTTAACGCGTAGTCCAAAGATGGAAAGAGTCTTCAAGTTCGCATCCATGTTATTCGACTTTTGATTCTTTTTTTTTTGTGTAAAATAAATGCATGTAAAAAGCGATCACGTTAATATTTAACCTGATAAACTCCTCCACCCCCCCACTCTTCTTACTCCCTGATCCCTTTCCCAAGTCCAGACAAATGATAGGATCATAGCGTAGTGAGACAAGTGATAGGATCATAGCGTAGTGAGACAAGTGATAGGATCATAGCGTAGTGAGACAAGTGATAGGATCATAGCGTAGTGAGACAAGTGATAGGATCATAGCGTATTGCGACAAGTGATAGGATCATAGCGTAGTGAGACAAGTGATAGGATCATAGAGTAGCGAGACAAGTGATAGGATCATAGCGTAGTGAGACAAGTGATAGGATCATAGCGTAGTGAGACAAGTGATAGGATCATAGAGTAGCGAGACAAGTGATCGGATCATAGCGTATTGCGACAAGTGATAGGATCATAGCGTAGTGAGACAAGTGATAGGATCATAGAGTAGCGAGACAAGTGATAGGATCATAGCGTAGTGAGACAAGTGATAGGATCATAGAGTAGTGAGACAAGTGATAGGATCATAGAGTAGCGAGACAAGTGATAGGATCATAGCGTATTGCGACAAGTGATAGGATCATAGCGTAGTGAGACAAGTGATAGGATCATAGAGTAGCGAGACAAGTGATAGGATCATAGCGTAGTGAGACAAGTGATAGGATCATAGAGTAGTGAGACAAGTGATAGGATCATAGAGTAGCGAGACAAGTGATAGGATCATAGCGTATTGCGACAAGTGATAGGATCATAGAGTAGCGAGACAAGTGATAGGATCATAGCGTATTGCGACAAGTGATAGGATCATAGCGTAGTGAGACAAGTGATAGGATCATAGAGTAGCGAGACAAGTGATAGGATCATAGCGTAGTGAGACAAGTGATAGGATCATAGAGTAGTGAGACAAGTGATAGGATCATAGCGTAGTGAGACAAGTGATAGGATCATAGAGTAGTGAGACAAGTGATAGGATCATAGCGTATTGCGACAAGTGATAGGATCATAGCGTAGTGAGACAAGTGATAGGATCATAGAGTAGCGAGACAAGTGATAGGATCATAGCGTAGTGAGACAAGTGATAGGATCATAGAGTAGTGAGACAAGTGATAGGATCATAGAGTAGCGAGACAAGTGATAGGATCATAGCGTAGTGAGACAAGTGATAGGATCATAGAGTAGCGAGACAAGTGATAGGATCATAGCGTAGTGAGACAAGTGATAGGATCATAGAGTAGTGAGACAAGTGATAGGATCATAGAGTAGCGAGACAAGTGATAGGATCATAGCGTATTGCGACAAGTGATAGGATCATAGAGTAGCGAGACAAGTGATAGGATCATAGCGTATTGCGACAAGTGATAGGATCCTAGCGTAGTGAGAAGTGATAGGATCATAGCGTAGTGAGACAAGTGATAGGATCATAGAGTAGCGAGACAAGTGATAGGATCCTAGCGTAGTGAGACAAGTGATAGGATCATAGAGTAGTGAGACAAGTGATAGGATCATAGAGTAGCGAGACAAGTGATAGGATAATAGCGTAGTGAGACAAGTGATAGGATCATAGAGTAGCGAGACAAGTG